TTATTATTTCTCTGTGTTCCATTTTGATAATCTGGGATCTGCACGTCAAGTTCTAAAACCTGTGGCAAAGACCAGTTAAGCACCCGGCCAAGGTAAGGCTTTAAAATCTGAGTAGCAGCAAGAGAGGCAGGAGGAAGATGGCAAAACAAAGCAATGGAGTGCTGTTATTTGCACAGGCAGCCGCGAAGGAGAGCAGGAGCTACAGATGCGGACGTCCGACCTTTCATTCAGAAAGAGTCTCACCAAGGATGGAAAATAGATCACCTCAGTCTAGCAGGAAGGTTTCAGACAGGTGCGCTGACGGAAGAAAGTCTGGCATTCAATTGCATAGGTAGCTGCACACCAGAAAAACATAGCCTTTAAGTAAAGGGAGCAAAACAGTCACGTCTACAAATAACTTTCTGGACCGCGGAATGGGATTGCAGACGTCAGCAAAGGACAACACGTTAAGAGCTGGCTTCAGTCATTGGGCTCCTATGGTGTGGTCAAGGGCACAGGTCTAGTCACACATAATTTATAGGTCTCAACTTTGCACGGTTTACTTTTCTGTCCCAAGGTGAATGATACCATCGATAAAAAATAATAGCTTTAATATAAAAAAAATTGACACTCTGCAAATTACTGCACACCGGCTCGGTGCAAGGAACTTGCTTTCATTATCTCTTTGAATTCTCAGAGGAATACTGAAAATAAGTTCATCCCATTCCCATTTTACAGACAAAGAAACCAGGCTTTAAGTCACTTATGTAACTGTCCTGCATGTCCCCACTCCCCAAAAGAAAAACTCAAATCTTAATCTTTCAGACTACAAAGGCAATGCTCTTTTAATGAAAAGAAAGACAGACAGTAGAGTAAAATAAATCTGAATTTGCCTTCTGACTCGACTGCTTACCAGCCATCTGATCTTGGGCAAATCCATTTCTGTAGTCACAACTACCCTATTCTGCAAAAGGGGACTATAAGCCTTGAGGAAGGGGTGGGTGGGGGGCATTCACGGAGATTAAACAAAGATCATTTATCTTAAAGAACAATTTGTAAATTAACTGGTTCACAGTACTCAATGAAAAAACAGTAAACGAATGTTTTTTTCTTTCCTTTTCTTAAGCAATCACAAGAATCAAGAATTCTATTTTAGCATTTTAGTATGATTTTTCAGTGGCTTCAGTGGTAATATTTCAGTGGAAATATACACTAGGTATATGAAACTAGGTGGCTAACATATCAAGACAGAAGGGAAGTGGATTGTAGAGAACTTAGCTACCAGTGAAATGCCTCAAACACAGAGAGACAAGACTAATCAGCGGGACATCTTTAAAGAGGAAAAATGCAAAGCCACAAGGAATTGGTCAAGGGGAAAATAAGGAACAAAGGAACAAGTGCTTGGCACATTTTTGAAGAAAATTAGGAATTCAAATCCATCTGCTCAATTTCCAACAAAGTTAACAAAATTCAACAGAAGGCTAGGTCTGCTTTAATAGCTGGATAAGAATTAAATACAAACTGGAAATACCATTTGGCATCCTAATACAGGCTAGGGTGACACCAAGAGAGCCAACATGTGCCCAGAAATGAGGGTAACCTGAGACAAACCCCGGGGAAATGCTGGAGTAGGAGGTACAGTCAACGTTATGGGGAAGGGATCTGCCATTGCCTTTTGAATACTGGACCCTGCTTTTTGTAACATGTTGAATGAGGACTGGACTCAACCACATTCTGCCCTTTGATTTCCATATGCCTGCTCACATGTCTGCTGCTTTTAACTGCCAAGAACATAAGCCATCAATTGCCAGGGAGAAAAGTCAAAGAAGGATCTTTTTTTCTCCTGCATCTTTCAGTTTGGAGTATGCAGAAAGGAACTGGTTGCTACAATTCACTTTTATTTTTGTCTGATAGAGGAGAATAATGGTTCTTTGCCCAATTCCTCCCAGTCCTTTCCAACCAGGAAAGAAAGAGAGGTATACCAGTTCTGACATTTTAGTAAAGTAAAAAATGCTCCCCCAAATTAAAAGAATCCTCATTTCTCTAGGTCTTGATGATGTACAGGGTTTTAAAAAACTAACTGACCATTTTTTTTGAGCAGTCTTAGGTTTATGGAAAAATTGACCAGAAAGTACAGAGAATTCTCCTATACCTCCTCTGCTCCCTCCCAGCTTTCCCTATTATTAATATTTTACATTAATGTAATACATTTGTTATAGCTGATGAGCCAATTGACATATTATTAAATGAAGTCTACAGCGTACACTGGAGTTCACTCTGTGCTGTACAGTTCTATGGGTTTTGACAAATAGGGATCATCACAGAGCACCACCGCGGTGTTATACAGATAATTTGAGTGCCCTCAAAATCCTGTGCCCCAAATATTTAACCCTCCTTCCTCCCCACAAACCTTGATTTTTTTTGGTTATAGTCTTTATAGATGTGCCTTTTCCATGGCGTCATGTTGCTGGAATTACACAGCAGAAGTAGACAGGCTCTTTTCCCTTAGCAACAGGCATTCAGTTTCCTCCCTGCCTTTCCATGGCTAGTGGTGGGTTTTTAGCACTCTTCACCTACACAGCAGAGCTAAGTCAGATACACGTAAGTGCTGAAAGGTGGGCAAAGTTAGCTCTGACACTGAGGCTAGAACAAGCCTAAACCACAGAGACCTCTCAAGATGCTGCACATTGTTCTGCAGTTTCTATTTCAAGGGGTAATGATATCCCGCCAAAAACGAAAAACCAAACACCTTCCTCATATCTACCCTAAACTGCCAGAATCCACTTGGATTTCCATTAGAAAAGAGAGCTATTCTCTTTTTCTCATCCAACAAACATTTATTGAGCACTGTGTTTCAGACTTTGTACCTGGAAGCACTAGGGGTTTAGGTCGTGATCCCAGAGTCCTGGGATCAAGTCCCCTGAGTCAGGCTCCCTGCTCTGCAGGGGACCTGCTTCTCCCTCTCCCCCTGCCTGGCCCTCCCTCCCCTTGCTTGTGCTCTGAACAAATGAATAAATAAAATCTTAAAAAAAAAAAAAATGAGTAAAGACCCAGACCTTACCCTTAAATATCTAAATGTCTTTGTTCCACCTCAGTTTTCTGCATTCTTCCAACATAGTGTTTTTGCCTTGCCCATTCCCTTCCAGAAAAGCTTTAATCATTCCTATTTGCTATATGTATCAAGTCAAAATCTCATGCTAAGCACTCAAGGTTCTACCATATTAACTTACCTAATCATCTTCCATTATTTCCGAAATAATGTTACAATTCTCACACATTCATGTGATGAAGATCTTTTTAAATTTTTATTCTTTTTAATTAGTTTATTTTTTTAAGTAGGCTCCACACCCAGCATGGAGCCCAATGCAGGGCTTGAATTCATGACATTGAGATCAAGACCTAAGCTGAAATCAAGAGCCAGACGCTTAACCAACTGAGACTCTGAGATGCCCTGAGGGCATTTTTTTTTTTTTTAAGGAGATCTAATTCCCAAGATGATGCTACAGCCATCCATCTGCTAAGATATGTATATTCCTACTTGATGTCTACCATCATCTTTCTTGTTCCAGCTGTGAAGCTTCTCCAGCTCCAAGCTCTTGGACCCCCCACCTGCACCCACTGCAGGCCACGAAGGCAAACGTTCTGCTGCCCTGCACTCCATCCATACTGTGATGGAGCAGGAACACTCTGAGCCTGCCCAGAACCACCAAGGCACTTCCTACAGCTCTTCTAACCTGTTGCCCCAAACCATGCTGGCCCTGGCTTCTCTGTAAGATCTCCTACCTCCTGGGCGTGATTTCCTGGAAAGCAGGATACCCAAAATGCAAAGTCCCAAGACTGTTTGGTGGTATACCTGTGACTCAAGATTGAAAATTCAAATACGAAACCCCAAACTGGAACACTGTTATTCTATCGTTCTGCATATTGTAGCAAACCGACCCTACAAGACGGAACACAAGAACTTCACTACTGCTTAAGGGGCGTCTGGGTGGCTCAGTGGGTTAAGCCTCTGCCTTTGGCTCAGGTCATGATTTCAGGGTCCTAGGATCGAGCCCTGCATCGGGCTCCTTGCTCTGTGGGGGGCCTGCTTCCCCCTCTCTCTCTGCCTATTTGCCTATTTGTGACCTCTCTGTGTCAAATAAATATATAAAATCTTTAAAAACAAAAACAAAAAAACTTCACTACAGCCTGAAAGGAAACAAGGCAAATTCAGCAGGAGTATGAAGCATAGTTATATTTCAAAATATAATTCCACTATACTTGATCTTAGCCAAAAGGCTGAGAAGCAATTATAATTCCACTAAATATGTAGAAAATTCTGTTTGTTTCTGCATTGGTAAATTAGGAAGAGGTTCTGCTCCATCGTGGTCAGTTTGGCTATCTCCAGTCACCCTTCAATGATACTATTTAGTTTCTCCTGGAACTACAGATGTGCATTACTTGGTTGGGGAGGAATAGGTGGATATATTTAGAAACATTGAATAATTAAAATCACTTTCTACTTACCTTCTGCAAACACATCTTAATGATAGAGTTCCCTTCAATTCCATTAAAGCACAGTTTTAATGAAATCTGTTATCTCAGCTTCTTTTAAGGAGATATGTTCCCAGTAATTCTATTTTAAGGAGGGCTATCTTTTCTTTCCAGTGCTATTGAGAACACACACACACACACACACACACACACACACACAATTTGCTATAATATCTCCAAAAAGAAATGAAGAAATAGTAAAAGAAAGGGAGTTGGGTAACGAAGGACACCCAAGGGAAGCCACTAGCTCTTTTCCAGGCCTCAGAATAACACAGCATAAACACACCTTTCTTGCAGTATAATATTTAAATAACCTAAAACATTCCCAATTCACCTTTAGGAGCAACTCCTTGGACTTGTGGCCAGGGTCCCAACATCTGATGGACTCCCCTGCCCAAGGAGCACTAAGGTCACACCTCTACAATACTCTTTCTTGCCATAGTCTCAGCTCAAGAGACTGAGACTGACTGATGTAAACTGTTGCTTACCTTCTGAGAAACACACTGACAGGAAACCACAATGGCCTATTAACACACCAATGATGTGCATCATCTCCATTTCTTCATGTACAAGTTCTTGTTCGCTAAGGGACACTGTCCTAATGATTTGTCAGCCTGTGGTGGAACCTCCTGGAGGTGGAAAGAGAAGTCTAAGGGGATGTGGAGATCAGAGTTACACAACCCAACACACAGCTTACTGATGGTGATAGAAACTTCTGGGTTCTATCACTGCATATAATCATTTCATGCAATTTGTCCAGGTCCCCGATTCCCTTTGGACTTTGAAATCTGCTAAAAGTTTATGAGAAATAGATAGTGATAGCCTTTTTTTCCTTACAGCTTGGCTTAGAAATTCCCGGGAGATGTTACTTGGTATTAGTGGAGGTATTGGCAGCAACAACGGTGGTAGTAACAGCAGTAAAAAGAACACCTTTTACTATTTTATAAAATGAGCACAAGAGATTCTTTTATCAGATCTGAGATACATCTATCTACAATAATCTTCTACAAAGAAGCAAAAGCTCAAAAAGAGAGTAAGTGACTTGTCTGAAATTACCCCCCCATCAGTAAAGGTCAGGGTCAGAATTCAAACCCAGACACTGGGACTCTAATACCCTAGGTGTTCCCTTGATTCTCCTATAATATGTAGAACCAGAATATTAAAAAAAAAAAATTATCTCAGTCTCTGATTGAATATACAGTCTGTTTAAAAAAAAAAAAAAGTAAGGCTGTTGCTTCATTAATATTTTGCCTGTGAAAGCACCACTCAGTAAATGACCCCACACCATCTAGCATTCGATTCTTGGTATCAGAAAACTCTGGCACAGAAGTTAGCATTAGACCCAGAAAACCCTCACATGAGTTACCATTTTTTCCATTTCATATTCAGCGAGATTCAGATTTCTTTAACAAACATCTATGCAGCACCACCAATGAGTAAAGCAGAGTATTAAGTGCCAACACATACACCTTCTTACTTAATCATATTGGTGGATATGGTATGCTGCATTTTTGCCATTTGCCCAAAGTGGCAACAAAGAAAAAATAATACATTTATTCATCAAATAATTTATTTATTTAGCCAATATTATGTACCTGGCACCATGCTGGGCCCTGGAAATGCAGCAATGAAACAAGAGACCACAACTCCGCTCAACCAAGGTGTAAGTCAAGAGAGATGCACAGTAAAGACGTCAGATCATGCTAAGTGCCAGGAAGAAAAACTACCCAACACAGGGATAAATATTGAGTGGTGGTGGTAAGGGTGACGCCATTTTATAGGAAAGGGCTCCCTCTTTATGATATGTAAGCAGAAACATGAAGGCAGTAAAGAAGCGGATCTCTAGAGGAAGCACATTCCAGTCCAAGATGCATTTATTGGAAAGCACTAACTTTGTGCCAGTAGTGGGCTGAGTACCGCACACGTAAGGATTACTGTGGAAGGTCCTGACCCACCAGGACCTTTCAGTCTACTTGTGGAGACACATCAAATAAAGTATAGTATACATATTATTATTATATGGCCAGGGCATTATAAGTAGGGCCAAGAATAGTGTGAGGCAAGTAAAGAACTTCATTTTAAATGAAGACAGGATAAGTAATTGGCTTTTCCTGTTGCCTGGTTCCAGTCCTGCTCTGCATGGCAGCCATTATGAGCATTTGTTTTTTACCCAGTTATCTGATGGTCCTGGGCTTGATAGTATCTAAGTCTTAACGAATAGTGGGACATAGCCAAGTTCAGTGCTTTGCCAGAGGCATAGAGCCAGGAAGTGCAGAACAAGGATTTAAATACACATTTCGACATTCAAGACTGTGGTTACCTACCTGATCAGAATCTCCTGAAGTGTGTTTGCAGAATAGTAAATCCACAGGATATTAATAGGTTTAACTGGAAAAAATGGATTTAGCAATCAAGTAAGTTTTGTGAATATTCAGCATATAAAATTCTTAATAGGTTTCTTTATTGCAGGACTTTTCAGAGCCTTCATGAATCTCCAGAAAAGAAATACGGTATACAGAATTTCGCGGGGGGGGGGGGGGGGGGGGGGGGTGGAAAAAGAGAGGTGCCCGCGGGGGGGTGGATTTAAACCAAAGATTTAGCCTTCTCCCTTAAGCCAATATAATTAAAGCAAACAGCAAGTAACACCAAGACTAGTATTTCTTCCTTCCCAAAGACAACAGAGGGGCAAGGTCTGCAACTGAAGACCAATACAGATGTCACTTACTGTACATGTTCTATACGCCAGCACTTTACACATACATACATATAGTGTATATTATGCAATATACATGCATAGAGGTGGGTATATATATGCGTATGTATATGATTTCAACTTCATAAGCACCCTGAAAAATAGTTGTAATTTCTCTTTTGCAGTAGAGGGAAACTGAAGGGCCTAAAGAATCTTAATCATTAGCCAAAATTCATGTGGCTCGTGAGTAGCAGACTCTGGATTTAGGGGCAGACTCGGACTCCAGAGCCTGTGCTCCTGACCCCTCCACCACGCTGGCGTGCTGAAGTCTCAGCAGTGTGCAAAGTTGCACCGAAGCTGGCTCAGTGTACCTCTGGTGGACTCGGGGATTTGAATAATAAATCAGAACAGTATTAATTCCAAGTGATTTGGGAAATAAGCCCGTAGAACAAAATGAACTATGACTATGCTTAATTCTGGGTTTGGTTTGGTTGTTTGTTTTCTGAGTCTAGTGTGTATCCAACTATCTTGCAGATTTTTAGTAATTATGAAAAAAATCTTTCATTCCCTAAGGTTTTTTCCATAGGCCGTTCTAGCTTACCTTGCCCCCCCCACCCCACTCAGTAGAGACTGAGTGCAAGAATCCTCTGTACCTTGAGTCCAAGAGGGTCAGAATTCAGGGTTAGACCAGCCTCACCAAACAAACATGCAACCAGAGACCAGCATGGCAGCAGGGCTGGTGCCCAGCCACAAACACTTGACCCAGTCAAATTTCTTCCATGCTCACAGGGGCTGACCTATTCGTTTGAACTCTATGAGCAACATGCATAAAAATACAAGATGAATATGGAAGGGAGACCCAGGTGGCAGATTCCGTGTGTTATTTTTAGTCAGACCGCCAAAATCTCTTCACCCTCATAAATAGAACGTATCTGGACTCAGCCTTATTCCTTTGGAGAAGCTGATTAAATAAGAAAGGAGTTTTGCCACTAATAGGCAATGCCCAGTGAAAATGAGGCTCTTGTGGCTCATCTCAAAAGGAAAAGCTACAAGAAAGCACTGAATTTGCAAAGAACTGAACCTCATAAATTGTGCACAAAAAGGTTTTGAAGATTCAGATAAAAAGCTCAGTTGCAGCACAACCATCTGTTATTTCTCCCTAAAAGAAGATAGCTAGTAGTTTATAAAAGCAATAAAACAGTTCCAGAGCTCAAAGGCAATAGCAAGGACTTCCAGTTACAAACCAGGGAACACGGAGACTGATGTCCAGCTGAGTATGCTTCCCTTACCCCTCACCTCCTCTCCAGACAGAAACAAAGATTCTTCTAGTAACTGGTATCTGATCCACTCTTTTCTTCCTCCCTCAAAAAGATGATGACTGGACATCAAACCGGCCTTCCCTCTTTTCTTCTGTCAACGTTCACAGCTTAATTCTTTTTATCTGACAATCTTTTCCATACACATTTATCATCTTTGACCTCTTCCTCATCACTGTGCCCCAGCCCCTTCCAATGCGTATCTAGTTTTCTTAGATTCTCTCCTCTCCTGTTTCAGTGGTGAGCCAAGAGTGGAGCCAAACCCTGACTGGTCAGTATGAAAAGGTAACGATATGCTTGGATCAAAAAGAAGCAAGTGTAACTGTGAACCAGAGGCGTGGACTCCTGAAGCTGAAACGCAGGTCCTCCTTAGCATCTCCCCTGAGCCTCTGCTCAGCTCCTTCACGTAGCATTACGTTTAAGAGTGTGGCCAAAGACTCGTACTGTTTGGACCACCATCCTGGCTCTAAGTTCACCAGATGGCTGGGTGAGGCATCTGACCTCCAGAGCCCTCAATTTCCTCAATGGTAAATTGTACATCATAATGTGCCTTCCTCACTCAGTTGCCAGGATTAAATGAAGGGATTCGTTTAAAGTGCATAATGCAATGCTTGATATATTTTTAAGTCCCAATTAATGTTATTTGTCATTATTAGCAGAAGCAGCACCTACGTTTTTCTCTAATTAAACTGTTCTTATTTGACCTTACCATCCTGTGGTAGTAATTACTGAGATCACAACTTTATTTTTCCTATTGTATTTTTAAAAATACACACTGGCATTGCTTGGCCAATGATCATGTCAAAGGAGGTGAAGCAAGTGGGAGAGTCGTGCTCCCTGGTCTGTCTCTGGTTCAGGAACTGACCATTAGCTTCATGGGCTCTTTCAAAGATCTGATTGTTGTCAGCTTGCCCAGAATGGATCCATAGCTAAGGGGCATAACTGAATTAATCAAACAAACTCAGGAAACATTTCTAGAACTGCAACACCTACGTTTTTTAATTGACAAAGATAAATGGAATCATGGCAGGGCGAGAACACTTGTGAGGCACGACCACAGAAGCCTCTACCTACAGGCAGACTTATATGAGAAGCCAAATTTTATAGCACTGGGTGTCATATGCAAACAATGAATCATGGAACACTACATCAAAAACTAATGAGGTACTGTATGGTGACTAACACAGTCAAAAAAATTTTTTTTGAATATGCAAAAAGACCCCAAACCACCTCCCACCCGGCCCCCCCAAACCCCCAAGAGACGTAGCTGATGTTAACTGTTTCACAGAAACTAACCTGAAGCATCTCTCTTCCCAAGGGGGCAGCCTCCTCAGCGTTCATTAGCTAAGCTCCCCGATCAAGCACAGAACCACCTTGGACTCCGCCCAGTGGCTGCTAGAGGCACTCCTTTCTTAGTTCTTTCAGGACTAAGACCATTCCATCTTCCGTCTTTCTTTTTTGGTTAACATCTTATAGGCCTGGGCCCTATATGGCTTTTTAAAGCTAGCTTCACGTATCTCTGCTCTGATCAATTTTATACTAACCTTGCAGTTGTACACACTGAGGGACATTTTCTTTCTCTCATTTACAAGCTTTCAGGATAAGCCTCAATGTACTGACAACATTCAGTCATTCCATTATATTACATGAAAAACAGGCATGTGGGAAGAGGGGCGCTGCTGAAGATGCAATAATGTATCACATTATTTTAAAAGAAAATTTAAATATATCGCATTATTTTAAAGGAAAATCTCAGGTTCCAAGTAAATGTCTTCACAAATTTATCTGGCACTTGCCCTCACCTCTTGCCTCTTTTCATAATATAGCATCATGCTAATTTCACCCTCAAGGAAAAGCACTTCTATTCCAACACGCTTCTTTTTAATGATAAAGGAGCTCCTTACAATTGTTCTGGCATCAATGTGGCTCCAAAAGGGTGATACTTGTGTTCCCCACATTTGCACTGAGGAGTCATTAATAACATGAGAAAATCTTTATTTTAAAGAGAAAAGTGAAAAAATTAAGCTTAAAAATAATACATTCAGAATGTAAGCAGTATAGTACAGGATTGAGCCATGCTGAGAAACTTCGTGCCTGAGACAGACTGACTCCCCTGCCATGTCCTAGAATAGATATACAAGCAATGTATCTTCTTGCCTCAGTTGCTTCATCTGTGCAATGGGAAGACTACTTATCTTATAGATTGTAATGAGGATTAAATGAGTTGGTATTAATAAAGCATATAGTACAGGGCCTGGCGCACACTAATCATTTAATAACTCTGAGCTTGTTATTATCTCCACCATTAAAATATGCCTGAAAAACCAGGAGGGAATATATCTAAATTGTGTTAGTATCTGCCACTGGAAAGTGAGACATGGACACCTGTTTTCTTCCTTTTTATAATGTCCTGTGTTTTCTCCAAATTTTGTGTAATAACCATAGATTAGATATCAGAACAAGAATAAGCTTTCAAAATGAAAACAAAACAAAACAAAACAAGGAACATGACTTTTTTAGGTGGTGACTCTTAGTCTTAAATAATATTTGTTCAAAAATCCCTTTAATAATACCATTTGAACTCGCTGCCATGACAAACTGTCAAACAGTGGCTTAAAATGCCATAAATTTGCTATCTTTTGGCTCCACAGGTCTGAAGTCTGACATAGATCTCACTGCACTAAATTCAAGGTGTGGACAGGGTCACATTCCTCTCAGGAGACTGGACAGCACTGATTTAGACTTATTTGTCCAATGTGGTAGCCATTAGCCACATACAGCTATCTAAATTTAAATGACTCAAAATGGAGTAAAAGGACAAATCCAGTTCCTCCATCACCCTAGCCCCATTTCAAGTGTGCAACAGGCACGTGTGGCTACTGTCTTCTTATCAGATGGCAACAACAGAAAACATTCCCATTGCCGCACAAAGCTCTACTGGACAGAACAGACCCAGAGGTGAGACTTGTCCCATCCTCCTGACTGGTTGTCCTCCTTGAGCCCTGATGGCCAGCACTGTCTTTCCAAACACAGACTGGCTCACATTCATTCCCTGCTTTAAAATTTTCTTTGGTCTTGGGGTGCCTGGGTGGCTGCTCAGTGGGTTAAATCCTCTGCCTTCGGCTCAGGTCATGATCCCAGGTCCTGAGATCAAGCCCCACATCGGGCTCTCTGCTTAGCCCGAAGCCTGCTTCCTCCTCTCTTTCCGCCTGCCTCTCTGCCTACTTGTGATCAAATAAATAAATTAAATCTTAAAAAAAAAAAAAAAAAAATTTTTTTCCCTTTGGTCTCTATTGCCTATAACAGATTTTTTTCCCCAACATTTCAAGTTATAAAACCTTAATCCCAACTGTATCTTCTCTATAAATCAGAAAATGTAG